AAAACAAGTATGCGTCAGTAAAAAATCATGACAGAGTCACTAAATTTCCTTTCTGGAAAGGATAGAGACGCTATGAATAGGGAAGAAACAGTAAGTGTGATATCTCTTTTTGTATCAAGTCATGGAGAGTGGGGCTAGAAAGGRCRTGTGCTGGGGCTGCATTTGCCATATAGCCATCACTAGGTCTGGTGAGCTCAGACTTTGGCCTAAGGTTAGGTTTGAGGGAGAGAGAAAGCCTGGAGCCCCATGGAGAGTGGGTCTGGAAAGAGTTTGCTAAAGGAAATGTAGCGCTATATCCAGATCWGTACAAGGACCGTATTTGCCATTTAGTCTGCACTAGGCCTGGTGAGCTCAGGCTTCAGCTAGGGTTGAGGTTAGGGTTAGGGTTGAGAGAGAAAGAGTCCCATTGGGACTGGGGCTTAAAAAGGGCACGCCAAAAGGTAATTGGTACAGACTGAAACAGATCTGTTGGCAGGATCCAATGTAAGTTTGTGGTGGCCAGTGATAGGACAAGGGACAATGTGTATAAGTTGAAACACTGGAAGTTCCATCTCCATGTGAGGAAGAACTTCTTTGCTGTGAGGGTGACAGAGCCCTGGAACAGGCTGCCCAGGGAGGYTGTGGAGWCTCCTTCAGAGATATTCAAAACCCTTCTAGATGCGATCGTGTGCAATGTGCTGTAGATGTCCCTGCTTGAGCAGGGTTGGACTAGATCATTTCTAGAGGTCACTTCCAACCTCAGCTTTTACTATGACATTACTTTAGATAAATAAGGAAATGGGGAAAAAGATGAAATAACGTGAGTGTCCATTTTTGGCTGTCAAACCATGAAAATGTGTCAGTAGAAGACTAGTGGGACTTGCCCTTTTTCTGGTTGCGTTGTCGTGGGTCGTTCAGATGATGGAGTGGARACCCTGCTTACTCATTTCTCGTTCTGTGTCAGTCTGGGAGGATCTTGGATTAGAATTAATTTTTTTTTTTTTGAGATGGCTGGAAATACCTAATGYCAAGGATAAGAACAAAATAGCATGTGTAGGGATAAGTTGAATAARTACGTGAGGGAAAATGGTGACCAAGGCAGGAAACCTGTATGAGAAGGATCTGGGAATACAGTGGGTCAGAAACTGGACATAATGAATCAATATTGTACTGCTACATGAAAAACAAGCAAAGTATAAAAACAGCTAGTTTAGGTATAGTTGATCATATTTTGGAGCAATGGACTGGATGATCTTATAACATGCCCTTTAAACTCACTTTTCTATGATATTTTTACTTTGGTTAAATGTTTAGTGAGAGAAAAATTTCTGCGAGGGTGCCATCCTAATCCTATTCCGTTGTTAAAAATAAGGCAGACAACCTAGTAGAAGCTTGAGGAGAAGATGGACCTGTCTTTTACTACACAGCTTTGTAAGTTGTAACTTAAATGTTACCATTAATCTAGTTGAATCGGTTCGCAGAGCTCAGTGGCATGGTCAAATGAGAAACATTGCTGTCTGCAGTTGCATCTGTTATAAACTTAGCTAATTATGGTACATTTGGCATGGCTTTTAAGAAGCYCATAGCATGAGATTGCAGGCACCCTAAACTGTATTCATTAGACTGYTGTTTTGAGAGCCTTGGAACTCAGAAGTTTTAGCACAGTTGTTTTGGACATAAAGCTTTATTTCAGATATTTAATACCCACATGAGACAATCCATTAAAATTTTGTGGTCTATACAGTAATAGATTCTTAGAACCCCATGGGTGTTAAAATGACCTTATAATGCTTTTCARTACTCAAATCGTTCCATGCAAATATTACCATGAGTTATTATGCAGTCAAGTGGATTCTGGCAGGATTYGTAAGTGATTTGGAAATTCTGGTGGAGGATCTTGTCCAAGGTTCACCACCCAAAAGGCCTGTATGACTGTTACAACAATATGAATGTCTTATGTTTTTAAGGTATCACTGACAAATTTACTTAAATGATGTAGATATTTCAGTGACTATACTGTAATGTTAGAAGATGTTCTAACACAAAAAACCTGTACCAGTAAATGTCAGTAATTTTTTTAAGATGAAGCTCTTCAGCTTAAATTCTGTCCATTTCAGTGTATTTGTTCTACACACAATAATCATAAAAATGCCAATTGTAACGGACATCTGGAGATCATCTAGTGCATCTCCCAGCTGAAGCAGGGGAAGCAATATAGGGRAAGCTATAACCAACACGAGACCAGCTCAGCCACTGCTTTGTCTAGCCAAGTCTTGAAAACGTTGAGTACTGAGATTCCAGTCACTTTGACCCAGCATTGTGCTACCCTCCTGGTGAAAAAGACTTTCCTAATACATGCTGAGAGTCTCCCAAGCTGCAGCTGTGGGCAATTTCACCTGGTTTTACTATGTGCAACTGCCGAGGAATTTGGCTTCCATCACTGAGGTAACTCCTCTTAGCCACATTTGGATTAGCTCTTTGMCTCCTTTTCTCAAGACTAAGCCAGTCCAGTTTCCGCAACCTCTCCTTGTACATCAGTGCCCAAGACACTTTGGTAGGCATTAGCAGGACCCTATCCACTTTCTAAATAAATGCATTTGTAAATATGTCCCTCTTAAACTCAAGGTCCCCTCAGTTGCACACTGTATTCCAGGTAAATATGATTTCAACAAAAAATATGTTTTCAATTTTGMTAATTTTTGCAGTGGAAATAATAATTACACCTACCTAATTAAGCTAAAATCAACAATAAGTTTCTGAATAAAATTTCTGTGCAATATGCAAATGAAATGAAAGAAATTTCATTCACTTCATTTTTTCTTCAGCTTTTCTTCAGGCTTATGAGGCTGAATTGAGGCTTTTAGGCTTAATTGTCTTTGAGGATGCAGGCCTGGTTTTAGGAGTTAATATCTGTTTCATGGTGATTGTAGTATCTTGAGCTGTAATCTAAAATCAAAAATTTCAACAAAATTCAACAAAAGACATGACATGACATTTGTGCTCTTTTCTGCATTATGTGTTTTGTAGATAAGATATTTGGTTAAAGTCACATAAAATATCTGTGCACAAATGTAAACTGTTGAACATAATGAATCATAGAAGATTACAGTGCACATTGTCATCTTAAGAGAAAGGCAAATTTATCTATATTTGGTGGGAGAAAGAATGAGAAAAGGCTGGAAGCTAAATGAGGAGACACCTATATGTGTTTACCATAAGGAGGCACTGATGGAGAAAGCTATTTGCTTCAAAAGGAGCTTTTTTATATAAAAGAGGAAAAAACAGAGAGGTAAAAAAAATGCTTGTTAATATCTGCCTGCATGTTTTGGATAGTAGATCGTGGAGTGATAGTTTTTTAATATGCCCAGAGGAGGCTCCAAGAAATAAGTCATATAGCAGACAGGATCAAAGAGTAAGACCTCAGAGTCTAGTTAATTCTGCCAGTCCTGTTGAAAACATTTCCATATGGCTGCACTGACAACAACTTTACCATAAAACATCATGCTTAGACCTCCATTAACTTGTGCAATCAACTGGCTAAAGGATGCTTATTTATAGTCTTTTATTAGACATAAGGAACCCTAAGGTATTAGCTTATAMAAAGAAGTCCTTAGTTGTGTGCCTTAAGGACTGCACATACCTGCACATGAAAGGGTTTTAAAAGTCATGGAGAATTCTTAGATTAACTGGGGATTGCATATTCCTGTAGAGGTGATCAACAAGATGAAAAATTTAGTGCTTAAAACAACAGATATTGTTATAATAGATATTTGCAATAGCGTCTCTCCYATCACTTCATCCCACCTAACTCTTTTTAGAATTTCCCTGAAAAGAATTTGCCTCAATAAATATTTCCCTCTCAAATTATAGTTTCCTTTTTTTAAGCAATCATCTCTGTTTCAGCAAGGGATAAGTGCTAGACTCATTTATCTCTGCCATGCAGATTCTGGTGGAACTTCATATTTGATAGTGTGTTACTGTACCATAAACCTTGCCTTTTAGAGACCGCAGGAACATGTGGCGTGAAATGGGGTAGATGCTAGAGATTTTCTGCATCATTTCTGACCTGTTTTAKGTGCCCATGGAGCTATTGGGAGTTGCTTAAAATCATCCTGAAATATGTATGAAATATTTTTTTTTATAAGACACAATAATAATATTCTGGGTTAGGCTAGTCTGAAACTTTCTTATGCATTTGATCTTTTTATTTTCCCACAGTCAGCTAAATATGCTTGTGTTACACATAGAAGTTGAAAAGAAGATGCATTTTTGCTTTGATACATTTGCTTTTTAAATAATCCTTTTGTCCCTCTGTAGTAGGAATTAATCTAGCAGCATAAGAAATACTCTTACAATGAAAATTTGATGAATCTTCTAGACCCAATCAAGTGACTGAGGATGTGAATCTTTTTACCAGTTTTCTCACAATGAAGAACTATAGAGAAAGATGGAATATTTTAAAAGCCACAGCTAAAATAAAATGAAAATTGATGTTATAGATTTATGAACACCAATATGCCTATGAGTCCCACATTTCGTTTAAGAATTTATTGATTTCATGATACTTTTAAATTTGGTATGAGTGGTCAGCTTGTTCATTGTGAATAGCTAAAAGTTATCAACTAATTTTTACTTTCCATAGTACTGTGTAGGGAAAAAAGTATTCAATTAAGACATTTCACTAGTCAAATATAGCAGTAATGAAAGAAGAAAAGGTATAAATGCAGTATAGAAAATGCTACCCAAAGATTCTTGCAGTTTCCTGTTCTACTACTTCTTCTTTCTTCTAGTTGTCAGAAAATACTACTTGAGCGACCTGTAATGTTAGCTATGAGTTTAGCTGGTTGGGTTTCCTGAGCCAATTTCATGCCCCCAAGTATGATTTTACTCCAGCTGGCTTTGAAATACCGTTGAACAGTTTATCTTTGGAGTAAAGAGGAGGCATTAAAGCCTCTTCCCCTTTATAACCCTGACATAGAGGCATACTGGAAGATGTAAAAAATATCTCTTATTTGTTGCAGAGGACCACCTGAAACAAAAATTGTACATGAAGATGAGGAAATGCAGCATCACAAATGGCTGAATCTTCACTCAGACTGGAAGAATAAAAATCCATCCACTTTGCATGCACTTCTAGTGAATGGGTAAGGAACAGTTAAATGAGGCTTTACTTCTGTTTTTCTCCCCGAGATATCTGCATATAAATCCCCGAATATACTCATGTGACTTGTTAAGATGCATTCTATGATCTTAATGTTTGTTAGAATTGTAGTCTCTACAGTTACATACAGATAACGTGTACAGATAATATGYATTGGTCCCTTCCCAGACTGAAAATAGGAGAAGCCAGGAGCTGAGAAGTGCTCCTGAGCTCCACAGTCTGGGTATACTCATCCGGATCAGCTTCAGCGTGTAAAATCTGTGCCAGAAACTTTGTCAAAAACTCGCAAATACACTAGTATTTTCATAGAAGTTTGATGAGTGGGTTTGTCAAAATGCAGACACTGTGCTGAGAACATAGAGTCTTTTGGCTATTTGGTCACAAGTTGAAACAATTTCTAGGTAAGGGAATAATTCCCATGTGTGTAGCTGCTCCCAGTTATATTCTGCATTTTTTTTTTAATGCAGCGTTAATACTTCAGGGGCCTTGGAATGTTCCTGAGTTTTCCTTAAAGTACCCCAACTTTTAGGGCAAATATTTTTGTCAAAAATGTCCCAAGTATTCTCTCCTTCAATGCTAAGGAGGAGAAGAGTAGCAATCTCTGGGTATTAAGGGGCCATAAATTTAAAATTGACTGAAGATCCCTCTCAGCTGGCCTCAGAGCTGGATGGATGTCCAAAGAAGGAGGTAGTCTGCCAAATACGATGCACCAAGTCATGAAGTGCATTAAAAATGGGTTTGCAATTCAAACTAAGAGTTTGTCTATAGGCAGCCACTGAGAGGTTGATGTTTCTGATGTAAGAAAGTCTTTGTGTTTCTTTGCATGGTTTGCGGGTATTTTACAACTTATAACAGCAGCTATAGTACCTGTGCTGATATGCAAATTACCAAAAATTGCATCWACTCATTGAGATTTCCATGATGTTGTTTCAATATTTAGGCAGATGTGTCAAAGTAGCAGCAAAGTGTCTCTTCTCTGCACTAAAGAAGGTAAGAGAAACATACATTTCTGGCAAACTAGGCAAAGTAAATTGAACGAACCGCTTCTTGACGCATGTCCTCTGAAGTTACCTAAGGGAATTCAGTAAGAATTAGGGATTACAAATCACCATTGCTCCAATTTATTTCTTCCTCACTAAACTCCCACACGTACAATAGCAGGAATCCGCCCTTGGGAGGCTGATTGCAGAAACTGGTGGTTCATTTTTTTTCTAGAACAAACGGAGTATAAATAATAGGATAATATTTATCTTCAGACTGAGGATAAATAATGGCTGTCACTTTACAAATCCAGAACATAATATGGACCGAAAGCGAAGGGCTAAGTATATTTAAAATAGCAATTCTCTGGCAGATAGGACTCTGATACAGTTCCTAGTGGGGAGCAACATGTAAAGCAGAATGCGTAGAGTATCTTCAAATCTCCAAATACTTTCCCTTGGTGATTTCCATGAATAAAGCAAGTATTGTGTCCAGCAGATAAGTAATCAGTGTTATGTTTGGCTGAGACTTGGGCTTAAGCAAAGTCCCAAGTAAGCTGAGCTAATTTTGCAGAAGCAGCTCTTATGGACAGTGCAAYGTAGCTCAAGTAAACATACAAAAATCAAGAAGCTTCCCCAAGGGTGTTCAAAGAAAGAAGAGAAAGGAGGCCAACTTAACCTGTTTCATATGGTCTAGGCTGGCCTAGGCTGAGCCATTAAAACCAATCTCAGGAGACGAAATCCTTTGATGTGAAGTAAGAACTGAAGAACTGAAATGGTTGAATGCGTTAGATGTTCCTGTGTGATCCCTGATGATTTTATTTATTGTGCTATTCACTGTCACTTAATGACCGTGCCAGTAATGTTCTGTGCCCAGGGGTCTTGCAGCACCTYCTGGACGCACCGTGTCTGTAGTACCAAACAAATCTGTGTCTGTTGCTCGCCAGACTGTGGCCGTCGCCCAGCTGCCCGCATGACCAAGAGGATCCTCGGTGGCCGGACCAGTCGCCCGGGCCGGTGGCCGTGGCAGTGCTCCCTGCAGAGCGAGCCCAGCGGGCACATCTGTGGCTGCGTTTTGATCGCAAAGAGATGGGTCTTGACGGTAGCGCATTGCTTTGAAGGGTGAGAAGGGCCAAGACTGCGTTACTGTTTGCCTACAAAATGCTGTAATTCACTCGTGGAAGTTACCTAGTCCTCCCTCCTTGACCAAACGCATGAGTGGAAGGTGATGGCAGGTCACAGGGGCCTGGTTTGGGAGACCAAAAGGCAAAGTGAGTAGTATACAACAGCATCAGGTGAGGTCCTGACATGCTTTATTGATGGTGCCTCCTAAGCACCATCTAAGCGAACTGGGACTGTTAAGTTTGGAGAAGACTGAGGGGGGATCTGATCAATATGTATAAGTACCTGAGGGGAGAATGTAGGGGAAAGGGGGCCAAACTCTTCTCGGTGGTGGCCAGTGACAGGACAAGGGGCAATGGGTACAAGTTGAAACCCAGGCAGTTCCATCTCCATGTGAGGAAGAACTACTTTCCTGTGAGGGTGACAGAGCCCTGGCACAGGCTGCCCAGGGAGGCTGTRGAGTCTCCTTCTCTGGAGGTCTTCAAACCCACCTGGATGCCGCCCTGTGTCCCGTGCTCTGGGTGTCCTTGCTGGAGCAGGGGGTTGGACTGGATGATCCCTGGAGGTCCCTTCCAACCTCCTCCATTSTGTGATTGTGTGATCTCTTTTAAGATACTTTAGAACTCTTTCTTATTTATTCTAAAAGCCTTGCAGAACAAAGAGACAAAAAGCTGTTTAAWTGCTAAGATGTCTTGATTTAATTTTGATTGAGGAGTTATATGAACATTTCTTCTGCCTCTCTGATGGGAGTGAGGGTCAGTGTCTTGGCATCTTTACACTGTTTAGTAGTTTCTTATATAAGTAGCGAGCTCATTCATGGTCTGATGTTCATAATCCTAGCAACACACAGAGTGGGTTACTGTCATGATGCATTACACACTTTCATTTTAAACTACTGTGTTTTTGTGACACAAAAAATTTCAAAATCTACCACAGCAAGCCGGACAACCCAACAGTTGGAAATATTGCCTACGTGGTGTGATGCATTAGATAATCCCAAGCTACAGAAAATAGCTTTCAAAACATGAGGCCTGGGCATCATTAATGCAGCAGAAGATTTTGAGACTGGCCATAAATACTCATAGAGGTTAAAAATGAGAAAAAAAAAAAAAAAATCCAACTCTACATCAAGCATGGAGGCCATGCCTAAATACATCTTTTGTCCTGAGTAGCTTGAAATGCTTTGCATAAAAACATCCAAGACACTAAATTATTTTTCCTCACTGTATGATAATATATTCCAGCTGTGACTTCTCATTGCTCAGAGCAATGCTTTTTATAATGTTAAGAAACATGATAGCATATGAATATTCTTAGCTGAATATTCATAATAATGCTGAAACATTATGGAAAAAATATTCACTGACTGAGTATAATAGCAAAAAGATCATTATTGAATTTTCATGCAACTTTTAAATTGAAATAGCTCTTATTTAGCAACCAAAACTCTACACAAATTATAGAACCTACAGTTCTCTTGACTGCTTTGAGAAAAAAAAAAAAAGCTGAGTTTTTAGCGGCTTTGATTTATACTGTTTGATTAAGCATCAGTGTCTGCAAAGGTACTTGGTCACACTAACTGTCTCCCATTAATTGTGAAAATGCCGAGGGTTTTCTTGAGGATTTTTAGAATCACAGGCTAATTAGGAACCCGTGACTTCTTACCACCAGTTACCATCAGCGATGACACCCTCAGAGCCTTTCATGAAGCCCATGTTTTTCTCACATGTCTCAACTGGTGCTAATTCAGTCTTCAGTCTTCCCACTTGAACCATTGCCATCATTTTTTTTTAATATTCATTTTTACAAAAAGAGGAGAGAAAAAAAAAAAAAAAAGGCTTATTAAACTATTGTGTGGAAGAGTCAAAGTCCCCTTTGATCGTAGGCATAGTGTGCTTGGCACAGGCCGGGTGCCCAGTAAACAAGAAAGGACTTTTTCCAGGGATATCAAAAAAGTTTTAATTTCCATAATTGCTGCTTTGAGATTTATTTGAGACTTCAGCTTGAGTTACTGCTGTTAGCAGCATGTTACTGAACAGTAACGTAGCCCCCTGGGACCTCTGTACGTGTCCCGTGGTGAGCAAGGGGACACCCAGGACTTGGGCAGGATCCCCARGGTGATGCTGAGAACCTTTGGCATTTGATACAGCGAGTTGGGGGCTACACCCCTCTGAGGGAGCTGAGCTTGAATTCATTTGGGAGCAAGCAGGAAGGAAAAGAAAATCTCTTGGTGCTCAGATGATAGATGTGATGCCTAAAACAGTTTTTTTCTTGTYTTATTTGTATGCACAAAGTAAAAAGACAAAAATTCTCAGTTACGTATGTTCCTTTGCTATCTTGATGGAAATTTCCCGTTTTCCCTTTTATTTTTTAAACAAAGGCGAGAAAACGCAGCTGTTTGGAAAGTAGTGCTGGGCATCAGCAACCTGGACCATCCCTCGGCTTTCATGCAGACGCGGCTTGTGAAGAGCATCATCCTGCACCCTCGCTACAACCGGGCGGTCGTGGACTACGACATCAGCATCGTGGAGCTGCACGACGATGTCAACGAGACRAGCTACGTGCGGCCCGTCTGCCTGCCCAGCAAGGAGCAGCTGGTCCAGCCGGACACCTACTGCTACATCACGGGCTGGGGACACATGGGCAACAAAAGTAAGGGGAGTGATTTGGGGAATGCTTGGAAGTTCTCATATGACTTGATCACATGCTTGGTGCCAGTACAAAGCTATACCCACTTACACTGTTTCTGGCTCTTATTAAATACTAAGGAATGCACTTATGAAGGCTTCTAGCTATGACCAAAGCCTGCCTGCCTGCCTGCCTTCCTTCCTTCCTTCCTTCCTTCCTTCCTTTTTTTTTTTTTTTTTTTTTTTTAAAAAAAGCCTAAATTTAGGCTCCTAAATTCACATTTAGCTGAGTGGATCATTTTTTTTTTTTCAAAATTGCTGAGGACCTAGCAATTCCCACCAGGAAAGCCACCTGAAATGGTTACCACTTTGCTCCTTCAGGTTGTGTCCAACACTGTATTGAGAAGGTATCAAATCACCAGTGGGAGAACAACCATCTTCGTTTGGTGAAAACAGAAGGCATGGGCTCGAGGCACTGCCTGTATTGCCATGTAGGCTGAAGGAAGTGATTTTCCTAAGCCAAGGCTCTGTGCCATGCTTTGGGCTTGTGACACAGTTTATTCCATCCAGGCTTAATCACAAGTGTTGTTTTTGTTTCCCCGAACAGAAATGTTACTGTGTTGGGGTTTTTGTTTTTTGTTGCTGCTGTTGTTCTGTAGCCACTGTAATCATGGGGTCCCAAACAGAAACATTTATTTTATGCAAAGCTCTGTAGTGCCAGAACGAGCCTGCATGCATCACATGCAAAATACCCTGGCTCTGTTGCATTCAGCCCCATGTGTTTCTCCCAACTCTGCTGTAGAGGACATCTTTCTTTCAGAATCGCTTCAGATGGCATTTCACAACTACAGGTCAGCTCATACCTGTGGTAACAGTGAACAAATTATTCCATTTGTAACTGAAAAATTGCATTCTGTATTTCTGAACACAGAAACAAGTTGTGTCTGTGAGGGACAGTCTGCTTATTAGCAGCTCTGCCCATCTAAAACTAGCTTTTATGTATTGGCAGAACAAACAGAATACTTGTGTGCCACTGCTCCCTGGGAATAGCACCTTGCTCTCTAATATGGTGTGGCAATTTTATTTTTTGGTGTTATGAAGCAGCAAAAGATGATCACACCTACATCAGGTCTAGTACTTCATGCACTGGGATTAGCAGTTTTGCTTTGACTTTGCGCTAGGTTGGCTGCTAACGGTGGGAAGAAGCCCTTTATGGTCTCCTGGATGCTCTAACACAATTTCAGTGCTTTCAAATTCTGATTCCCTGATAGAGGCTCTAGGTCAAATTTTACCCATGCAGTAACTCAAATAACTCTGTWTTTTAGTGCCCTTTAAGCTGCAGGAAGGAGAAGTTCGCATCATTTCCCTGGAGCAGTGCCAGTCGTACTTCGACATGAAGACCATCACCAGCAGGATGCTGTGTGCCGGCTACGAGTCCGGCACCGTGGACTCCTGCATGGTAGGACACRCGCCGAGAAGCAACTCGCTGCCACGAGTGCTCCAACAATCCGAGGCAGAGCAGGGCTCACGAGCTGTAGTTACTTCATCTACTGCAGAAATGACAGCAGAGTTTGCCCGCATGTTTTGATTCAGTATCTGATCCTACTGGTGTAGTTAGCTTCAGTTTATGATTATGAAATGCTACTTGAAAACTCTAAGGTTCCTATACATTAATTATTAAATTACCATTTTTTTTAATTAGTATGAGCTTTGCACAGGTATATTTTTGTACAATTAGAATTAGTYTAATTTAGAACGGACTAATTGTGAATATAGCTATGCGTTACATTTCTGTGAGCTTAGCTGAGGTGCCAGTTTTAACAGCTGAGTTGCTTATGGAAAGCAAACCTGTCCAGAAATCGAGACATAGCTCTAACCATACATRCTACACCCAGCAATACACAGCCCCTATAGACTGTTCTTGCTCTCCCCTTGCAGGGTGACAGCGGAGGACCCCTCGTGTGCGAGCAACCCGCGGGGCGCTGGACTCTGTTTGGTTTAACGTCTTGGGGCTCCGTCTGCTTTTCCAAAGTTTTGGGACCTGGAGTTTACAGCAACGTGTCACACTTTATTGAATGGATTGAAAGACAAATATACATCCACACCTTTCTGCTGAACTAGCTCCAGATGGCTAGGATCGCGCTGACAGGCCAAAGGGAAAAGGAATCAGCATTTCAACCCTCAAGACTCTGCAGCCAAGAAGGAAGGAAAAGGAGCTCAGGCTGTTACCTGTTCCTGGTGCAGGGCTCTGGACTATGCAGGATGTTAATGGCAAACCCTCCTGCTGGTGGATAGACTTTGGGGCAGAAGCAGCTTCCCGTTTGGACTTTGCTTTTAGCTGGGTTGTGTCGCTCTTCCAAACACAAGAACAGGTTTAGAAGAAGAGACTCAGACACTCTCTGCCTTTCAGTTACTCAAACTAAGCAGTAGTGCAGACTAGTAAAACTATAAAATAACCTATTTCAATACCGTTAAATTAGTAGCACAGGCGGTCTCGCTCGGTGGCTGCCATGAGAGGCCCTGCGGTGACAGGGCCGCCGCCAGGAGGAGGAAGCTGCTGCTGTGTGGCTGGCCAGCTCCTCATGGCACCAGTCTCTTTGTCAGGGTGGCTCGTTAGCACCGCTGTCATTAGCCATGCTGCTCGTCACCGGCTGCTCCCTTCGCAGGGCAGCGTGCAGCCTGCGGTGCTGGCGGTGGCCCAGCTCGTCCTGCAGCTGCTCCGAGGCCTGCGCCGCTCTGACCCGCAAGGTTTCGGAGACCTCTGCGTTTCAGTGTGCCTGAAATGCCCACGTTTATCAATCCTGCGGCCTCTTGTCATTTTTCTTAAACTATTTCTTTTTCTTTGCATATTGGATCCAACCTATAAAAAGGGTTGACAATCTCTAACAAACCAACACTGGCAAAGCCACTTTTCTTTTTCTCCTACCAATGAGCTACTGGGATATTTTGGGCTGGTTTTCTTTTCAAGTATCTTGCAATGGAAATTTCATTTTGCTTGGCAAGATTAAACACTCAGATCATAGAGAAGAGAGAGAGAGGGAAAAAAAAAAAAAAAGGTAAACCTGAATGACAGAAGACTTGGCTCTACTAGGTTCTTCTCAAATTAATATTACAAATGTTAATTAAAATACAATAGCCTTAGAGTTGTAGTCAACTGCTTGACAGCCCGCGGGACAAGGCAGCGGGGAGCCCACAGCTGGGAGCCCACAGCAGAGCTCAGCCTCTCCTCGTGCTGCCCAAGGGGAGCCATTCCTTACCCGCCGCTGGAGGTGACTTTCTGCACCCACCCCCGTTGTGTGGGAACCTGCCTCAGGAAACGGAGGGTTATAAAATTAATTTCACCGGGGGGCAGCGCATCTCTAACATGTGTGTTTTCAGTGCTGTGCCTTGCACCCCGTGATTCCAGCCTAAAACACAGAGCAAAATGGCCCAGGGCCTGCTCAGCACCAGGGCTGCCCCATGTGGACGGACACCCGTGACGGGATGGCCACCGCACAGGCACTCCAGGCTGCTCCCATCCCCGCTGCTTTCCCTCGTTCTCGATTCCAGCGTTTAGTTGGGCTTCTAGGTGTTCGTGGAGGGCCTCACCTCTTACGATCCGTATCTTCTCCCTCAGCACGCCTCATGTTAGCCATGCTAGACAGTGCTCTACAGAGCAATATTAATAAATATTCAGTATTTATGTTATGGGTTCTGAAACTCTATTTAAGTGACTATTGTATCACTGTTTTATACTCACCAAGAAACTCCAGTGCTTCTCTTTTGTATTAAGGGATTTGCTTTTCTCTCTGTCATACAAACGTTCTTCCCCCAGCTGCAGTTGCGAGGGCAGCTGTGTGTGACACGTTTTTTCCAGTGAGGGCTTCCCCTGCCTTTGCCTCCAACACACAAAGGAGCCAGACTAGGGGAAAAGACACCTACAAAGCACTGGAGAACATCCTGTCCCTTCATGTAGATAAAAGCACTACCAAAGGGTCAGATGTAAAGTAATCCCACATTTCGATCAAATGGGTTTGGCTGCTACCCCTTCCCAAGCTAGCTCTCCCAAGAAACAAGGGAGGGTCCTGCTTAACACCATCAGCCAGTCTCTGTCTAAGGAGTGTTTAAAGGAGTTACAGACCGAGCCCCATCCCAGAAGGCCTTAGGCGGGAGCAGCAGSAATCTTCCGTTCCCACAATTTTGTCTGCTGCAACATTCCATGTAAAGAGGAAATTTGTAGTTTTATAAATGTATTTTTATACTGCTTTTTTTTTCTATATGTGCACATAAATCAGGCAAAACTCCCCTTTCCAGTGTACCACGATTCTCCCTGTGTGCTGCAGTGATGGTTCTGATCAGACTCCCAGTTTCTCTTGCAATGTGCCCCGGCTGTAGCTCCAAGGGGAGCTCCAGTTGGACAGATGTGTTTCTTTTTAGCTGTATTAATAAAAATTTACAATCATTTTCCAAGTAACTCCTCTGTTGGAAATGTGTTTTTGTTCGTTGTGGAGCTGATGATAAGGTCAAGGTGTGAAGAGATTAAGGGCAAAGTTTTAACCTTAGCAGCAATCCCTAAAAATAACCTGAAAATGGTACCTGCAGACCCTGCTCAGTACCACCCTAGCCCTGGTAGCACTGCAGCTTTTGTAGAGGTCCAGGCCCTACAGCCCCTATGTAACCTGTAGTTTATTCCACACATGGGMTTCCAGCTAAAATATTCCTGCATTTAATCTAAGAATGGCTGCTGAAGGCTGCTGTGGGCAGGTGAGCAGGCTTGGGAAGCGGGGATTGCTGTGCGCTACCATGGGGTGCAGGCAAGAGGCCTTGAGGGCATGAAGCTGGCGCCGGGGCCAACAGGCACGTGCCACCGAGGAACCTTGGTGGGGATATTTTGGTGCTGCAGAGGAGTCCAAAGCTCTTCTCTAGACTGTTTCAGCTACTAGAGGCAAGAGGGCTACTACAGTCCAAAGAATGAAATGGTGGGGACAGCCTTCACTTGCGTCAGTGGTTACTGCAGAGAGAATAAAATAGTCTGTTTGCTGTGTCCACAGTGAGGTGAGGCAACAGATGATTTAAGGTGCAGAAGAAACACAAAAGTGAGACAAAAAAGATCCAAAGTGTTACCTTTGAAGGCAGGGGAGTGCTAGTTCGGCCTGTTTCTTCGGAGCTCTTTCCAATTGGAAACATTTGCTGGGAATGACACAGGTAGAGCTGTGAGGAGCTCTACTCCTCACAGCTGCCTTGAGGCAAAGCAAGGCAGCAAGCAGAGGCTGCCTTGGGGCCGTGAAGCAGAGCAGGCGACTTCACTGTGTTCCAGCTGCTCTCTCCCTAAGAAAAGCCCCTGTACCAGCTCACGTCCCTGCTCAGCTTGCTGGCTGTTTCATGTCTTCTTCTTGGCCTCCACCTCATGGTTTCCATGTTTTGCAGGGATGTGAGCTGCTTTACTGGTGTCCACTCCTTGCAAAGGACCTCCCAGCAACAAAGCCCCTCTCCTGTCCTTCTCAGACCTTTCAAAATCTAGACCTTCGAATGATTTTCCTCAACTGCAAACAACACATAAAGAGAACAAGCAAATATGCTACAGGCAACATGTAGAATCCACAACCACAAACCAATTTAGGCGCAGCAGCACAGTCTCTCACCGCCTCCAAGTCTGCTTTCACTTCAAAGGTTCCAATTAACCAYGTCAGAACTTACCAAAAAACACTTGGTCATATGTTGAAACCAAATAAATGCAGTATTTGCAAAAAATACTGGCTCTACCTACTCTTTTTCTTCTCCTGTCTCAAGACAARGGATCTATTTTCTGCTAACACTAAGGATGGAGTCAGTCCTAATCACAATCTACCTTTAAAAAAAAATGGTTCTCAACTTTTGGTAACATGTGGTGACCGGTGTTCAAATGAACTCAGCCTGCCCTCAATAGCTGCCCTGCGAGCAGCAGCCGCCTCAGACCTCACAGCGTTTGTTTAAATTCTTTCAGAGATCTTAAAAGATGGGGCATATGTGATGTCGATCATCGACAAGGAAAACTCATGGTTCAATTAAAAAGCAGAGCCCTTGTTCCAAACATGGAGTCTAAAATTAAACACACAAATCCTGCCAATTTGAAAGCAAAAAGGTTTGGAAAGAAACGTAACAAAATGGGCTCAATACTAATAATTCTTTAGCAGCTACAGTTTGAGGGGAATTGTTTATTTCAACAGGTGCTAGTGGATACAAATGATTTAATGAATTTCTCTATAAATTGGCTATGTAACTCTTTGGGGATGGAGATAARAAGGAGGCTACATTCTAGACAGGCTGCACTCCAGAAACGGCCACCTGCAGCTCAACCAGCTTTTCTGGGTGGGCAGAGCTATGGGAGGCTGGAAAAGGCAGGACATCTCCAAGATACTCACACAACAGTGCTCAAATTTAGGTCCTAACTTCTTTTTAACAGCCTTTGCACACACCAACACTACTTATTATAAAAGAAAGTTTGGAGGAATATAAGAGGACCTGGGAGCAAAGAGGAGAAATGTCATCATCTTGAGGCTACTGTTGTAAGAGAAGGCCCGAAGGAAGACAGGAGTGACCTCTGCCAAAAACAGAGCATCTTCTGGAGGAGGCACAGATAGTTCTTAGAGGAAAGTTTTATGAAGACTTGCAACAGGTCAACAAATAATCCTAGCCTTTCTGCTCACTTTATATTCCATGAAACTGTGAATTCTGGGAAATACTATGATTTTAGGACATCAGTGCAAGACAGCTGGGTGACTTATGAAAGGGTAGGTCTTACCTGAACTGGATCCTGCAAATATGAGGTTCGTACAGGGTCCGTAACAGCCACAGGCTTAATGCAACGTTGCATACTGGAGATAAGCAGTATACAAACTCATCTGTGTGAAAAGTACAACCCTCCCCACCACGCCCAGCCAATTTAGTTCCTGAACATCTTAATAAGTTACTAAAAAACTTTATAAATACAAAAAGTTTTAAAGGCAATGCATGCATCATACAGCTTGTCTGCACAAAACAACCTACCAGGTAGCACCCGCCGTCCGTGCTGTTAACACTCTGACTTTGTAAAATGCACTAAAGCATCTTGCTCACACAGAGCGAAATTCAAACCTGCTTTGTGTGCTGGAGCAGCAGCACTGTGGCCCTCTCCAGACACATGTGCCAGGACTTTGGCACACGAGTTACTACCTCCACATGTGTCTGCATTAGTCTCTTCTGATGAATTCAGAAATACTGTCTTTTGAAAGTTCAGGCTGTCTGACTCATCCTGAGTGCTTGACAAGGAGGAGGCTTTCTCTGCTAGCCCATCCCTTGAACAGGACTGAAAAGGTGTTTTAGATGTTGACAAAACACTGGCAGTGCCTTCTTCCCCTGAGGAAGCACCTGCGGCTGAGCTGGGAAAGCCAGTGGCAGCCTGGAGCTCTGTCCCACAGTTCACAGGGCGGTCGTTTTTCCATCTCTTAATTGCATCCCGCTGCTCCTCACGGGTCAGCCTGTCGAGGTGCTTGGCTCTCAGYACTGGAGATGGAAACAACGTTCCTTGGAGAACTCTCAGTAAATATCTGCAGAATAAACAGCGTTTCAAATAAGCTGTCTGGAAGGAGATTCAAAACTGTTTCCAGCAACATTAAAGGAAACTAAACACCACTGGCGTAAGCCCCAGGCTGCAGCAGACTCTGAAACACAGGTTTTGCAGGTGCCATTTGGGGAATGTAAACTATGACGTTAGAAATTGCATCAGAACATGCTTTTAAACTGGCATTTCTTATCCTATCCACTCAATAACAGACACCTAACTGGAGCAATGCACACTGGCAATTTCAGTGGAGGGACAGAGTACTGGCAGCACTGAAAATGGAGAAAACAAGGTCTAAAAAACAAGATCAGTTTAGAGTTTCCCTGGGCCACTGATCTTCAGTGCAGATATATGGAATTAAGAACAACTGCACGAAAAATCAGGCCTAGAAAAAAAAATCATGCTTTAAAGCAAYAAGTTCTTTATCACTCCTGTTTAACATTGTTACTAATAGTTAAAACCTGGAAAGAGAGACTAAGTTAAAGTCTAGTGACAGCATCTCT